CTAAACAAACATAAATGAACAAACATACACGAACAAAGATTAAAAAAAAACACAATTGAACATATATGAAAATAAACGAACAAATAATATAACAATATTATCAAAAAAAAATATAAATGAATATAAATAAACAACAAACGAACATCAACGAACGTAAACGAACATCATAAACGAACATTCACGAACATAAATGAACGAACGAGACCATTGTTCATGTTCGTTCATTTAACTTAACGAATGATAACTTTTGTTCGTGTTCGTTCATTTATTAAATAAACGAACATAAACGAACTTCCCGCCGAACAGTTCATGAACGGTTCGCCGAACGTTCAGTTCATTTACAGCCCTATAGATATTACATTCCTGAATTCATATTATTTAATTTTATTAGTATACATTAATTTAGACCAAATTACATAAATAGTCCATGTGGTTTATCAAAAGACCACAAACTCAATCGTTACTTAATTTTTTATGAACACGGTTTTTATGGTTACAAAAACTTTCTTTTAATAAACTCGTGTAATACACGGGCTTCACACCTAGTAGTAGTAGTAGTAATAATAATAATAATAATAATAATAATAATAATAATAATAATAATAATAATAATAATAATAATAAAGTGCTTATTGCTTATTCCTACAAGTTAATTTGAGTGTTTGGATAAAATTCAGCTTATTAAGCTAAATAAACTAATTTTAATAAGCATCCCTCCTCATGCTTATTGCTTATTTCCACTATAAATAAGCTATAAACAACAATCTAAAAAGCTAATCCAAACACCCCCTAAAGGTGGTGGTGATTTTGCTTTCCATTTTTAATAAATCAATCAATGCTGGTCTTTATTTGTAAATGTGAAGTAGGTATGATGGTGGTGATGAATTGGTGTGAAGGGTAATCTTGAACAATGAAGGGTAAGATCGGTGGTCGTGATGAATTGGAGTGGAGTGAAGGGTAATCTTGAACAATGAAGGGTAAGATCGGTGGTCGTGATGAATTGGAGTGAAGGATAATCTTGAACAATAAAGGGTAAGATCGATGGTCGTGATGAATTGGAGTGAAGAATAATTTTGAACAATGAAGGATATGATTGGATTAGAAACAATGGGTCCCAATAAAATAAAATAAAAAGATTAAAATAAATTTAAAAGATTAAAAAAAATCAAAAACATATTCATTAATGGCAATATAGTCTTTTTACTAATGTCAACGACCAAATGCGAAACAAAAATATGTAATAGGGATTTTCCGAGTTTAAAAAAAAAGAAAATACGGATCAAACACACAAATTACCCAAAACTATATAGATCATGCGCACAATTTACTCTTTTTTTTTTTTTGTGAACTGTTTTCTAATGTTTTTTTTTGTCTTTTTAACTTTTTATTTTGTTTAAATTCTAATATGTATTTTTTTTGTTTGAGTTAATGAAATTTTAAGTTTTTATTAAATTAAATTATTAAAAAAAGGTGTGGCAACACACCTAGTGCCATTGCAAAAAACCATATTTTAATGATAAAAAGTAACATGACCCATCTATATGGCAATGAAAAAAATATGGTAAGAAATAGCAAGAGTGTTTCTTTATTAAGGGAACAAAAACCATTATATCACTAAATACATCAAAAGAACGTCTATAACGATATATGTGCCCAATACTTAAAAGTTAAAACTAAGACTTCTCTGCAAAGGACGACATCCACTCAATCCTAGTTAATTCATATTTTACAAAAACAAATGATTGCGTATTTAACGTCATATACACAACAATATCAAACTGAAATCCGAAAGTCATGTATATGAATTATATGACAAATAATCATTTTTTTGAAAGCACTCGATAAATGTTCCATAATATCTTTAAAAACACATGCGATATATAACAAAAATCACATTTCATACAAGTCATTAAATTACAAGGTCCTTTTCCATACTAGACTTTTGTTTAACAACTACCTTCATCGAATTACTCGGATATATATATATATATATATATATATATATATATATATATATATATATATATATATATATATATATATATATATATATATATATATATAGGGAAATCTGCGAAAAAATCCCAATATTTTAGGTTAGTTTACGATTTAGTCCCAAATTAAATTTTGTTTACAAAAAAGGACAGATTACCGGCTAAAACTTCGGATTAGCGCTTCGTGGCCGGTTTCACAGATTTAGCTGGTATCTCGTCTTTTTTCATTAATTAATCCAAATTTTGGGGTTTTTTCATTAATTAATCAAAATTTTAGGGCTTTTTCATTATTTATTACCAATAAACCAAAATATTTGGATTTTTCTGAAGATTACATTTAAACTAATATATATTATAGTATATGATCTAATTTAATATGTACTATTCCATATCTTCTTTCTTATGCTCTTCTAGGCTCACTATGTATTTTTATCGGTGTCGTCAAACCCAACAACAAAAATCTCACTCACAAACCTCGTTAACTCCATCAATTTTCCAAAATTATATATTCACAACTCTATGATCACCTTTCAATCTCCAAATAAAGAATGGAGAAAATCCTTGTTGATTACGTGGATGTCCCTATTATCTAACCATGACTTAAACCGTGGTTCCAACACTTGGATGTTCCTATTACCTAACCATGACTTGAACCCATACACTAATGGCGTTGCTCATAGTGTTGTTAACAATAGAAGACGAATCTCACATGTTCAACCACTGATACATTGGCTCATGTCTTACTTGACCCTTGTTTCCTTACAACACTATACAAGCCCCCAACTTAGTATGAATCCCACATGTTTCATCATTTATTGTTTTTTTTTGTCAAAAAGTAAAGCATTTTGGAAGCCCCAAATAGACTAAAACATAATAATGACAATTATTGTAATATCACAACAATTGTCATTATGACTTAAACGTAACATCACAACAATTGTCATTATTACATTTTAGTCTATTTGGGGCTTCCAGAATGCATTAGTTTTTGGCAAGACAAAAACCAATAAATGATGAAGTTTTTGATAAAGATCGGAACACAATCTTATTGATGGATCCAAGAGCTCCTTCTCGTCCTAAGCCTTTTTCTCCTCAATCTTCTTCCAAAAAATGCACTACAATATGCAATATTATCCCCTCTTACTCTCCTACAAGCATATAGCTCAATTAGGGTTTCTCTCAGAATGTTAAGATGAGGAGGGAGGCGGAAATGAAGGCTTAAGGTCCTTTAAATAGGACACAACCACTGAAAATTAGGGTTTTCACACTCAGCTCCTACTCGTCGAGTTGGGGTCCTCCAACTCGTCGAGTATACTCTAGAAATTACGCGACCATTAACACTCTCTACTCGGCGAGTTGGGGCCTCTAACTCGTCAATTTGATAAGACAACAAGAATACAAATTAATTAAATATTATACCTGGGAGTCGGGATGTTACACCTATTGTAAGGAAACAAGGGTCAAGTAAGACTTGAGCCAAGGTATCAGTGGTTAAACCATGTGGGATTTGTATTTTGTTGTTAATAAAACTATGGACAATACCATTAGTGTATGTGTTCGAAATAAGGTTCGAGTCATGGTTAGGTAATAGGAACATTCGAGTGTTGGAACCGTAGCTCATAGGTATACCAAATTAATATTTTAATAGTTTATGATGGATAGCTTGTTGACATTTTTTTACAATTAGAGTTAACATTCTTCATGGTTTTCAGTACATAATATCGAGTTGGTTTTTTTTACCTATGTTGTGCTTTTTAAGCTTAATGGTTCATTCTTCATGGTTTTCAAGTCCTATTATAAGGAAACAAGGGTCATGTAAGACTTGAGCCAAGGTATCAGTGGTTAAACCATGTGGGATTCGTATTTTGTTGTGAACAACACTATGGACAATGCGAATAGTGTATTGGTTCGAAATAGGATTCAAGTCATGGTTAGGTAATAGGAACATCCAAGTGTTGGAACCACAGTTTAAGTCATGGTTAGGTAATAAGGACATCCACGTAATCAACAAGGATTTCTCCGTTCTTTATTTGGAGATTGAAAGATGATCATAGAGTTGTGAATATATAATTTTGGAAAATTGATGGAGTTAACGAGGCTTGTGAGTGAGATTTTTGTTGTTGAGTTTGACGACACCGATAAAAACACACGGTGAGCCTAGAAGAGCATAAGAAAGAAGATATGGAATAGTACATATTAAATTAGATCATATAATATATATTAGTTTAAAGGTAATCTTCAGAAAAGTCCAAATATTTTGGTTTATTGGTAATAAATAATGAAAAAGCCCTAAAATTTTGATTAATTAATGAAAAAGCCCCAAAATTTGGATTAATTAACGAAAAAAGACGAGATACCGGCTAAATCTGTGAAACCGGCCACGAAGGGTTAATCCGAAGTTTTAGCCGGTAATCTGTCCTTTTTTGTAAACAAAATTTAATATGGGACTAAATCGTAAACTGAGGTAAAATATTAGAATTTTTTCGTAGATTTCCATATATATATATATATATATATATATATATATATATATATATATATATATATATATATATATATATATATATATAGTATCACTAAATACAATTATATGATGATTACTATTTTATCTAATTGACAATGCCATCAAACGATAAGCTTGAATATATAGTTAAAAACAAATTGATCTAAGATATATTAATATATGTACCCATGCATATCAAATGAAACGTTAGAAACCAGAAGAACCCTAATACCTAATGATCTAAGATATATTAAAATATGTACCCATGCACATGAACCCTAATACCTAAACTTAAAACCCTAATTAACTATCTAACACTAAATTAGAGGTAACTATGTAACCCTAATTAACTATCTAACACTAAATTAGAGGTAACTAGGTGATCACAAACCCTTAACCAAAAAACGCTTCATATAGATCCATCAGCTGGTAAAGAAACAGGTGGAATGGTCGATGTTGGTATTCCACAAAATACGCTTTTGAATTAGAGCGCCTTGATGCTCTCAACGGAAGTGGAGCTGCCGGAATTGCAATTGTACGGCGGCAGATCGGGCAGTTTTTCTTGAGCGAAAGCTACTTGCGGATACATCGACGGTGGAAGTAGTGGTGGCAAGGGAGTCGTATAATGTTGTCGCCTTTAAAGAATTCATCCATACAGATGGTGCAAGCTGTGGGTTCTGATCGGAGAAAGGAGCCCGCACCGACACCGGCACCGGCACCGGCGATGGTCGTTTGCCAGGAATATTGGTAGCTTCTTATAAATGTATCCATAGTACTACCAGGGTTACAAATACCGATTACCCTACGATAACCGTCGGTATCCAAAAAATTGTCTATATATACAGAAAATTAAAAGTGAAGAATTGTAATTATTATTATTCTTTTATTATTATATAATATATAGATAAGTATTTTGATATGGTTGAATTTAAAAACAACGCGTAATTCGAATACGCGGTACTATGCGATTATTTCTATCTACTATAAGAGTATTAGATATTAAAAATAAAACATGACGTGCGTACACGTTATATTTATTTGGATTAATATTTTCACATCTAAAATCATTAAATTCAGATAAAATTATAATTTTCAAAATACTTCAAATAAAATATAAAAAGTTTTTTTTTTCCAAAAAAAATGATTTTTTTGTTCAAGCAGATTTTTTATATTTAAATTTTCCCCTTTAATTAGTTTTTGTTCTAATAGTTTTCATTTCTTATAATTTTAAAACTAAGTTATTGATGTTTTATAAGCAATTGTTATCTGTGGTGTTTGGATAGGGGAAAAAAAAGTTTATAGCTTATTGTTTTGTCCCTGCTGCTATAAGCGCTTAAGTGTTTAGATATGAAGCATTACAAATCAACTTATTATGGTGGAGAGAAGCTAAATAATTTAAGTGTTTTGATATGAAACATTAAAAATCGGTACACTGTGGTGAAGAAAAGCTAACTAAGTTTAAATGTTTGGATATTTACTTTACAAAATACTCATTCACCACAATGCACATAGTGATTAAATATTAGTTTACTTCAACTCAGTATTTTTAAACTTTGATCACTTATTTTACTATGAGTTAGCAAACATCTTTTATCCGGTTTAATCATGCATTCTTTTAGCTTCCTAGAACGTACTTGAAACGATTTAAAGATTTTTAGTTTAAACATCCTTATATTCCGTGATAAATACTTAAAAACTTGTAAAACCAAATAACATGGCTTTTGGATCTTAAAATACTAATAAAAAATAACAACCCACGCTTTATTTAGAGACGTGTTTGCGAGGAGTTAAGTACAAGCATGATGTGAATACTACAAAACAAGCCCCCTTGCAAGTGTAGGCGTGTAGCAACTAGCAAGAACATCAAATTATCCATCACAAAACAATTGCAGGTAGGACGGTAAATAAACCGAGCAAACACAAATGATGATTATTCATATACGTTCATTTAAGTTAGTCGAACAAACGAATGAACATGAGTGGATAAACAAACGAGTTTTCCTTTTTATGTTCGCTCATTTAACAAATTACATTATTCATGTTCGTTCGTTTATATTGGTGAAAATGATCAACAAACATAAACAAACGAAGATAAATATATATAATTAAATATATATGAAAATAAACAAACATATAATATAATAATATGATCAAACACAATTTAATATATACGAACATTAAAGGAACTTAAATAAATGAACACAAATGAACGTTAACGAACATAAACGAACGTTAACGAACATATTTGAACGAACAAGATTATTGTTCATGTTTGTTCATTTAACTAAACGAACGAGAATTGTTGTTCATGTTTATTCATTTATTCAATAAACGAACTTTCCGACGAACAATTCGCTGAACGTTAGGTTTATTTACAACCTTAATTGCAAATGTTTTTTTGGTAGCAAATGCCAATACTGGCGGAACTAAATTTTTTTTGCAAGGGGCCAATAAAAAATAATATTTTTAAAATTTGTGATTTCATTAGACTCGTTTAGTAATAAAGCAACCACATTCTTATCAATGTATTAACAATAGAATCGTTTTCTAAACTTACATTATAAACTAGAAGGAATTACTTGCGCCGTTGGCGCCGGGTTAGATAGGTTTGCTTAAATTTGCATTTGTTACTGTAAGTCAAATACTTTCTTCAAATCATCCTCTTTCTCTTTCTGCAATTTAAGGAAAAATGTGGTTAGTACTGTGTGTGTTTGTTTTTAACAAAAAATCAATTTCAGCCAAATGAGGCACGGAAACACCAAGGATAAGATCTGAGGAATGTGACATGTATTAGAATTGTCAATTTTGTCAACAAAAACTAATTATTTTCCATAGGATTATGCCCAACTATTTGGTAGACCGAATCTCATGTTTCATATAATCCTAACACTAAACCCCCCACCAAAAACATATAGACCGATTTTACAACCCCATAAGATAACCGGGAATCGAAATGTCCATTGAAGAAATGCAAAAGAAAAAAAAAAAAAAAAGGAAAAACTGATCTCATAACAATTAGTGAAACCAAAAGACATCAAGTAATATATACAAATGGAATTACAAATAGACTCTTCATCACAAGATATTCCACCTCTTCAACCATAAGTTTTTTCAACCTAGCAATGATGTTGAGCGAAACAGGTGTGTCTTGAAATGGCAACTTCGACCAAACAAAATCAAATATAAACCTAAATCTAAAAAGTGAAACTCAAAAGTCTTTCTTTTGAAAAAAAAAAAGCACAAATATACAAACATCAAGTAGATAGAAAGAGTTGATAACATAAGATAAAAAAATTAAAAAAAAATAAAAAAACCAGCTTCAAAAGAAAACTCTATTATATCCTAACCACAAAAAAAAAAAAAAAAAATACTTATACCGTTAGATTGGCTCCTTCCATATTTGCTCCCTCCAAATTTGCATTTGTAAGATCAGCCGTTTGCAGATGTGCACAGCACAGGTCTCCACCGCAGAAGCAACAATCTACTAAGCAAGCATCTGAAAATAAAATTAATAGAACTTATATTTCAAATCAATAAAAGAACAAATTAATTCACCTCCTTTGAATTATTCGCCAAGTATTACATACATTTGAGAATTAACCAATAAATAAATTAGAGAGAGAATTTTGCCTTGTAAATTTACACTCTGAAGATTAGCACCTGCCAACAAAGTGCCACGTAGATTTGGCCCTGTGAACTCACATCTTCCCTAGGCAAGACAAAATCAGTTGAGTTGAGTTGACTATGGAAGACGGGTTTGATTATTGGACTGATAAAAGATAGCCATATAAAAAAGAGAAAGAACATTGTTTACATATATAATTTTGTACATAAAAGAAAAAAGTAATAATAGTTTTGATGAATCTTACTCACGCAATGTTGCATTGTGAAAAACTCTATTTTCAGCATCAACATCCTGGAATCAAACATAGAAAGAATATGAATATTATGAAAACTCTATAGATAGACGTCATTAGCATCCAGCCAATTTATCCATACATCAGTTAATGGGAAAAAAACCGAACTCACATATATAAATCACCCAAATTTTTGCACAATGAAGATTAGCACAAGAGAAGAAAACATATTTCAGACAAGCATAACCTGAAGTCCACATGTATTTGATCATACCAGTTTGGAAAAATCGAGGCTAGAGGGATTTACTCCTCTTAACCTAAGTTTTTCAGATTGTACACATTTGATGATATCAGTACGTGTTAATTCAGTATCCATTTCTTCGTCCTCCTTTCTATTATTAAAAACCTCAGTTATCCCATCTACTAATCCCTACAACCAGTCAAATTTGAAAAGGGGGGGTTGAAAAGCAAAATGAACTTGTCGACTTTCTTCCCAGTTCCCCCATTATCATTAAATGTGTACACATTTGATGATATCAGTACGTGTTAATTCGGTATCCATTTCTTCGTCCTCCTTTCTATTATTAAAAACCTCAGTTATCCCATCTACTAATCCCTACAACCAGTCAAATTTGAAAAGGGGGAGTTGAAAGGCAAAATGAACTTGATCATACCAGTTTGGAAAAATCGAGGCTAGAGGGATTTACTCCTCTTAACCTAAGTTTTTCAAATTGTACACATTTGATGATATCAGTACGTGTTAATTCAGTATCCATTTCTTCATCCTCCTTTCTATTATTAAAAACCTCAGTTATCCCATCTACTAATCCCTACAACCAGTCAAATTTGAAAAGGGGGAGTGAAAAATTCTATTTTCAGCATCAACATCCTGGAATCAAACATAGAAAGAATATGAATATTATGAAAACTCTATAGATAGACGTCATTAGCATCCAACCAATTTATCCATACATCAGTTAATGGGAAAAAAAAAACCTAACTCGCATATATAGATCACCCAAATTTTTGCACAATGAAGATTAGCACAAGAGAAGAAAACATATTTCAGACAAGCATAACCAAAAGTCCACATGTATTTGATCATACCAGTTTGGAAAAATCGAGGCTAGAGGGATTTACTCCTCTTAACCTAAGTTTTTCAGATTGTACACATTGATGATAATTCAGTATCCATTTCTTCGTCCTCCTTTCTATTATTAAAAACCTCAGTTATCCCATCTACTAATCCCTACAACCAGTCAAATTTGAAAAGTGGGAGTTGAAAGGCAAAATGAACTTGTCGACTTTCTTCCCAGTTCCCCCATTATCACAACTATATTCGTCAGTTTTTTGCAAGCATAATGAACACCGACTTCCCTGCGTTGACAAAGAGAGATTCAAGAGACATAAGGAAGCATATGAAACATTATTAGAAAACATAAATCGAATGGGAAAAAATGAGAATGGAAGGAGAGAAAAAGCTTTATGATGTATATACATTAGGTCGGTTTACAGAAAGGCGACAAATGAGTAGGGAGAAAGCATATATGTTTTCAATTTAGCACTTAACTACCTGATACAAACATAGAAAACGACAACATTAAACATCTACATCATCTCCACTCCTTTCTAGTGTTTTTTCTTAGTGATACAATCACAAAAACCTGGCTTAAAGTTGTTCTATATCATCTATCCCTATTTTGTTCCATCTATTTATCTGCAAAAACAAAGAAACCAAAGAAGTGAACCAATGAACCCTAAAAACCCAAATACAATAATCGGAAAACAAAATACATAAGCAAACCTGAAGGGAAAAGTCGATTGAATCTAATTTTTTTATTACGGTTGATGATTGTTGTTGAGATTAAAACCCTAATTGAGATTTGATGAACAAGATGCAGAAAATAAGAACAAACACAAATATGAAGATTATGTCGAATGATCACTCGATTTATTGAACTGTGAGGAATAAATTACACTTAAGAAATAAGAATCTAACTCTACAAGAAACCTCACAACGTGGCGGCTACATTTTGCCTCACTCTCTTAACCCTAATTGTTAATAATACATGACTATTTATAGGGAAAAGACAAGTCTTGGGCTTTTAACCTAGAATTCGTCACAGGGGCCCATTGCCATCATCCATGGAGTGCTTTGAAACCCTACAATCTCCCCCTCAAAGTATGGAATGGATGACAATGCTTTAACTTCCAAAAGCAGCATCTAGCAACTAAAAAGATCTGCAACGAGGAATATATGAAGCAATCCACGAATCTTGATTCTTCAATAATCTTCAAACACGGGCTCTAGGATATATTAATCAGGCACTGAAGTAATGTCATTAAACTTCATTTTCGAATGTAATCCCAAAGAATCTTCATGAAAACCAAACCCACCATAAAAACCCATTTCAGAACAAAGAAACCGAATCACTTCTTGTCTTTGAAGAGCTCCCCCTCCAAGTCACAATGATCTTCAAATAAGCTAATGATATAATCCATCAAAAAATATCATGTAACAACCCAAACTTTATGATTCGTAACGCCACTTGATGGAGAAAATACAAGAAGTCGGAGATATAACAAGTCCTTAGCAGAGCTCGATAAAGAACTTTCGCTGTAAAGGATACTTCTCTGTAAAAGCTTTAGTAGAGCTCGATGAAGAACTTCCGCTGTAAAAGCTACCTTCATAATTCTACCACAAACTTTATCAAAAATCTTCAACTTTGAAAAGTCACAAATCCAATTTCGAATGGCCATACCAAATTCTCCCCCGATTTATAATCAAAAACATGATTATAAAGCCTTCAAATGGTCATGAGAATGATCTTGAATGGATAAAAATTTACTAAGCTCCCCCGCGACAAAAAGATATACACAATGAAGTATAAAATCCGAAAAAATCGTGAAAATTTGACATTATCACGAAAAACGACTTTCCAAACCGCCAAGACTTGATGGAATCATTATTTTGCTGTTCATCAAAAAATATGAGCGTTGAAAAATCCAAAACTGTTCACCAGCCCTTAAAATTGTAAACTTTCTCGAAAATGGGCTGAAATTATCACTTTCCAGAAACTCAGGGGCTGAAATTGTAATCATGCACCAATAAACCCCTTTATTTGCAACAAAATCTGGAATTGGTCCAAAACCGCCAAAGCATGAAAAGTGTAGGGGCCAGATCGTCAAGTTCTTGAAGTTGCAGGGACCAAGTGTGAAAGTTTGAGTTATCTTCATCATTTGAAACCTGATAAAACGATGCGACTGGAATGGTGATTTTAAACCAATGGTCACAGACGAACCTACAAATATGACTCCAATTAGTTTCATCTACTTTCGTTCCGAGCACAAGCGACTGAATCTAACTTCGTTCCAAGATCGTCAATTATACACCCGAAGCGAAGCCAACCGAGCGTTCGGTTCCATACGTTTCCATTTGAGACATTCGCTTCCAGGTCCGTTCCAAGCTTCATCAGGCGAATCACCTTTCGCTTTCGATCCTTCCTTCTTTCTTCCAAGTGCTTTCGTTCCAAGAGTAGCCAACCGAACTTAAGTTTGTTCCAGGTACATCACGATGCGAACAAGGAGCGAACCCTTAGCCGAGCCGAACCACAAGTTCGCTTTCGGTCCTCCCCTCTTTCATTCCAATTACTTTCGTTCCAAGGGCTGACAAACGAACCCAATCGTAGGTTCGCTTCCGATCGCAGATAAGGATTTCACACCGATCTTGACTTTTCTGTTGACCAATGTCCGTCCCAATTGAGATTGATTCGTTTGCAGTTCATGAAACACCCATATGACAGTCAATTTCGTTCGTTTTTCGTTTCTAGCACAAATACGCGAACACTAAATCATTCCAGGTTTGTTCGTGGTTCACCTCCAATAGTCAATTTTGACTTTTTGCCTTGACTGGTGTTCTTCCAATTGAGTTCCAATTCCAATTTCATTCGTTCCCAGAGAGATTCGATTTCAATCGTTCGCAGGTGAGATTTTCAAACCAATTTTGACTTTCATTCGTTCGTTCTGATTGTATCAAGCCCCTATCAATATACCTACTTAGCAATGCGAACAAGGCATCAATACAGTTCTGAATGTAATCCAGTTTCAAATCAGCCTTTCGTTCCAGTTAGCAATCAGTCTTGAAATAGAACTTGATTCTGAAATACAAACTCAAGGCTATCGATATTCTCCAATAACCATTGATTTTGATTCATAATATGATTTCAAAAGATCCTACCCATTCATACGGACCCTAATAAACACAAAGTTGATTTTCTCAAATAGATTTCCAGATCAAACAAGCTATTTTCAATCAAATCCAACACCATGTTCCTCTGTTCTTCACCGGTTCTCAAAACAAAATTGTTATAATCGATTCATCATACTTAACATTGTTACAAAAACTCGAGAACAAAATCGATTAGGTCAAACACAATCGATTTGAAGACCAAAAATCAAGAGCAAGACCAAAATCAAATAGAAATCAAGAATTGTAAGATACACCAGAACATAAGAGTGTTCAATCGCCATGAAGATAATAAAAAAAAAACCTTTTGGTTTGCGAGATTCTGTGACTTCAATCGGCAATATAGGAGCAATGAACAACAGTGAACGAAATATGTGGGCTATTTGAGTGAAACAAATGAATAGTAAACAACGATGATGGGCTTGTGACTAATACGTAATAGGATGAACACAGAAAAAAATTGGGCTAAATCGATCGAATAGATCCAGATTATGAGTAGATGAACAATGAACAACATAAATCTCCATGAACAGTAGATCGGACAATAATCTTGATTCCATGCAGCCAAAACACCAATAATCTTCAATAACTTGTGCAGAAAATCATCAAATCAAGAACTAATACTTCAAAAATAAATAGATTTTCAAAGACCCGCTCTGATACCACTTGTTGAGATTAAAACCCTAATTGAGATTTGATGAACAAGATGCGGAAAATAAAAACAAACACAAATATGAAGATTATGTCGAATGATCACTCGATTTATTAAACTGTGAGGAATAAATTACACTTAAGAAATAAGAATCTAACTCTACAAGAAACCTCACAACGTGGCGGCTACATTTTGCCTCACTCTCTTAACCCTAATTGTTAATAATACATGACTATTTATAGGGAAAAGACAAGTCTTGGGCTTTTAACCTAGAATTCGTCACAGGGGCCCATTGCCATCATCCATGGAGTGCTTTGAAACCCTACAATCTCCCCCTCAAAGTATGGAATGGATGACAATGCTTTAACTTCCAAAAGCAGCATCTAGCAACTAAAAAGATCTGTAACGAGGAATATATGAAGCAATTCACGAATCTTGATTCTTCAATAGTCTTCAAACACGGGCTCTAGGATATATT